TTTCTTCAGCTTTTCTCAGCAGAAAGCTGGGGAATTATTCTCTTTATCTTTGGCCTTACTTGAAGAGATCATTTGCTGCTCACGACCCTGAAACATAAGCCAGTTGATCCACTTGTGGCTGCTACAGGAAAGAGGATAACAGAGGGAGGGAGAGGTGGCAAAGTCCCACAGCTCGTGTTTTGCACAGGATGTGTATAAAGAAACCATCTGGTCCCTCCCCCAGAGGGAAGGCACCCCTACTCTCCTTCACGTTTGTCTACACACAGTAGAATCAGTCAAGGTAAGTGCCTTTTATTTCTATTGTATAAACCAAACACCCACAGGTCAGTTCATAGTCTTTTGTAAGCTGCTCAGTGCAGAGATTATTTTCCTTAAACAGCAATTACAACTCCACTCTGCCTTAATGATTTGAGAGGAAAGAATGGTCAACATTTTAGCCAGTAAATTACTTTTTTTTCTCTTCCAGATGAGCATCCTATTTGCTGTTGTCCTGTTATTGTACTGCAGATGCAAAGCCACAGGAACACAAGGTGGGTCAATACTTTTCTCATTGAGGATGCAATGAAAGTAAACTGTCTCATTATTCTTGCCGCTCAGAAATTCTCATTTAGATTGTAGCCCGGATCCCACCAGTTGTTTGCCAGTCAAAATTTGCTCTTGTCATCTGCTGCAGGCTGAGCCGCTCTCTCTTTTATATGCAGCGCAGCTCCAGACGCGATGGGACAGCAGGTGGACGTGCGTTCACTTCAGTGGGGCAATTTTTATTCTTTTTTTTATTCTTTTCTCCCTTTTTTTGCAGTGTGTCACAATGATAAAAGCAAATGGGTTTGAATCGAATTTTAGGAAATACACTTATGTTAGTTGCCTTCACAGAAAGATATCCAGCATTTCTTTCGTCTGTGTAATCACTACTCATTCGCAGACAGTTGTGAGAGGATGGACTCCCCTCTAGTGTGTCTGAATGCTAAATATGAAGCTGCAGCAAACAGTCAGGTACATTAGCTCAGCGGTCCAACCTTTTTTTTGCGCCATGGACCGGTTTATGTCCGACAGTATTTTCAGGGGTCGTCCTTTAAAGTGTCGCGGATAAATACAACAAAATAAAACCAGTACCACTACCAAAAAAAAGAAGATTTATTCATAACACATGGGAAAAGACCCAGGGAAACCTAGTTAACGATAAAAACAATAACAAAATAACGATAAAAAACAATAAAAAACATTCATTTCACACCTGAGCCTCCACTCTCGCAGTCCGGTACCAAAAGACTCATGGACCGGTGGTTGGGGACCGCTGCATTAGCTCACTACGGATGAGGGAACCAATCAGCTAGTTAGCCGATTTATCCTTTGGGGGCAACAGTATTTTTTGTTTGGCTCATAAACTCTACTAGCCACCAGTATGCCCACCATGTGAAGTCCAACTGTTTCCAAATAGTTGTGGCTCTAAATAAAAAAGTAACCCTAAAGCATACCTTCCTTTATCTCTTTTTTTTTTTTCACTTTCATAATTAAGACCACACACTCAACAGGAAAATACTCAGAAGTCATTTTCCTTTTCCTTTCTGCAACCAAATGTATCGCCCCCTGCTGGCCATTGCCAAAAATGCAGGTTATAGTTTAAAGTTTTTAGTTTATATATATTTATATAGCACATTTAATTACAACAGGAGCGTTGACCAAAGTGCTGTACAAGAATACAACATACCTAATAAAATAACTTAGAGTATTGATAGCAAACACCAAATATGAATTAACAAATAACTCTCATGCTGTATTAAAAGCCAGTAAATAAAAATGTGTTTTAAGATAAGATTTAAAAAGATTGACAGTAGGAGCCTGTCTGATGTATGGGGGTAAATTATTCCACAGCTTAGGTGCTACGACTGCAAATGCTCGATCGCCTCTATGAACCAGCCTCGACCTTGGTACGGCTAAAAGTAAAAGATCACTTGATCTAAGAGATCTGAGGGGGGTATAAGTCTGCAAGAGGTCAGACAAATATCCGGGAGCCAGGTTTGTGGCACTTTTTCTGACCCTAAAGCTTGCGTCCATCTTTTATTTACCATCTATACTTGAACATATAAGCATGGTATCGAGTTAAAAAAAAACATATGTGAGCTTCAAAACTTCCTGTTCTGTCCACCAGCCATTGTTTCCATCCATCCACCCATTTCATTATGCATATCAAATTTACGGTTGCAGGGGAGTTTGAATTTTTTTTTAAACTACATCCTAACTGTTTGTTTTTCGGGGGGGTGTTTGTTTGTTTGGGGGGTTTATTTCAGTTCCATTTCAGATAGTTTCCAGAGTGGATTTTCTTGTTTTAGTTTCGTTTTTATTGGTTTCGGTGTTAGTTTTTCAGCTTTTGAATTATTATTACATGGTGGGAATATGTCAGTGGCATGACATCCTGTATCCACACAACAAAATGTTCTCAGGTGTGACTGATCAACAGAAAGTGCTACAAAACACCTGTTTGCTAGACTACAGTTATCTGCATATTCATAAGTAGATATCAGTTTATAGAGATTCAGTTAGCTTAAACAGTTAAGATACCTCTGTAGTTTTAAAAAAATAATCTATTTATGGACTACAATTTAGGAGGTATTGATGCATACAGATTTTTAGTGTGACTAAACTGATGACAAACAGCCAGCAGTGTGATTCTGATCATATATTGACTTGAAATGTAATTCACAAAGCCTGCATTTTTAACATGGGTCAAGTACAAACTATAGAATGTTTTTTAAGTTGTAAGAAAAGCGTTGCTAGGTGACTGACAAGGAAAAATGTGCATTGACAATTTGTGATTTTGTGCTATGAGAAACAGAGAGAGGAAAAATATGATCTGATCTTTACTTGACTTCCAAAATGTATCCAGTACAGAACATAAAAATCTAAGTTTGCTTTTCTTCTGCGTACGGTGCATTCACATGATGGAATATTGGAGCCTCTTGCTAGTTTCTGTTCTCTTGCAGACCATTCACATCACGAATGTGAAAATCAAGGGGTCAGGAGCTGTGGAGAGTGCCTGGCAGCAGGGCCACATTGTGCCTGGTGTACTTAGGAGGTGAATGGCCTCGGAAATACTCTGTGACTTCTTTTTTGGCGGGTTCACTGTTAACTGAACACCAAGTATATTTTTGGTCCACAAAAAGTTTTTCAGTACTCCAGATCTGTTCCCTTAACAGAGAGATGCTTAGTGGATATAGAAATCTCCAATTTATTTGAGTGGAGACCTTGAAAAGTTAGCAGTGGATGGGTTAAGTCCTAGTTTGCATTTTGTATTAAGATTGAACGCTATTACTGATTAATCCTAATAAAATTAAGTAATTACATATTTAATAACTTAAATTACAGTACTGTGTAAAAGTCTCAAGCCACACCTTATATCTTCATATGCTGCTTGGGAAATAGGTGCAAAATATAGAAGGCAAAAACAGAGTCTGTGCAATCTAAGGAACTTGAAGGTGAATATTTTTTTTAAAAATGGCTTCACGACAGCCACCCTTCAACTGAGAACATTTCTGATCAAGATTAAACTCAAGCGCCTCTCACAGGTGCTATGTTTGCTGCACTTTTTCCTATTTCGGAAGAACATAACTTTCATATAATCTTCATTTTGCTATAGCTATAGCGATAGCTGATGAAGCTATCACTCTAAAAAGTAATTAATGGGATCTTTAGTCATTACTTACATATATATGTTGTTGTGAAATGAAAATTTAAGTTCATAAATACTGTTAGACTAATTAAAATTTTTATTTTATTGAGTTCGGGTGACACATAAATTATGCCTCTTTACTCAATATATAATCGTGATTTGTCTGAATTTAAAATCTTCTTTTAATCAAAAAACAATATAATTTTAAGTTCTGTCGATGTAAAATACAACTTGATGACGTGTAAACAGCTCACAGTTCCCTTCTTCTACTCAAGCGGACATATTCAACAGCACGTGTTCAAGGTTTATCAAGAGCTGTGTTCGTCGCGAACGGTGAGTAATTTTATGCGAAATTACACATATCTGCAGTCGCTCTGGATTTTGTTAGTTTACTTTAAACACGAACAACATAACATACATCTTAGCTTGCCCCCGCGTTTGTGTGTTTTAATATACACACAGCAGCTAATTCCGCGATAGCATAAATTGTTGGGCTCTTTTTGGAAAATTTAACACTGATGTTACTCTAATGCAGACCACTGTAATTGTCTTATAATTTTTAAAAGATAGCGGACGTTGTTAGCCCCGGCACAAACTACTATGCTAACGTAGCTAGCCAAGCTAAGTTGTGTTCACTGTGATTTTATTTTTGAGATGTGAAATGTATTTTTTGAAGGGAAGCATTTTATGTTAGTAATTGTTAAGAAACGCTTCTAAATTTTCGTAACGTTACGGGGTGAAGTTCAACCCCGTTGGCTTCTGCGCAGGAAGTGCAGTCGCCATTAGTCCGGTGTGTCTGTTGACTGCTAAGAGCGGTTCTTCACCGGCTGCTCGGCCTATTTTCACAGGTAAAAGACCAGACTTAAGTGCACTGTGCCGCATATGGTAGGGTAGTTAGCTGTCCCTAATTTTTGGGACTTTCCGTGTTTTTGAGTAGAGGCGACGTGCATTGGCACTGGCTGTAACATTGATATGCTCAATAAAGGTTGAAAGTAAGAAAAAAATCAATAACACTAAGGTGCACAAAAATGACCATAGCTGCTGACTCAGCATTGATTCCAATTTGGTTTTGGAGAATGAAATGAAAACAGATCAAGTGGGATTATTGACATTGTAGCTTGTGTATAAAAAAGTTTGGGTTTTTTTTCGTATTTACTGTCAGAAATGATTCTGTCCTGTCATGCCACACCTTATGTTTGCTTTTGTTGATAAAAAAACCTATGTTTATATTATATTATATATATTATATATATATATATTATAAATATATACTTATATAATATATAAATATATATATAATTTTGTTTTTTTTTTTGAGTTAACACATTCCTCAGTAGAAATACATGCACTGGGGGCGAGTGGAGACCCCTCCAAGATCGCGGTCGGTGGGGATACACGCTCCAACAGACTGGCCCAGTCCATGTCACCTCTATGTATATTTGATCTATGGAAAGCCACGTTAGGCTTCCAGCACCCAGTGTATTCAGGTCTATGTAGTTTTGAATGTTTGGTTCTAGCTCACACAGCTTTGACAGGTGAAACTTATTCACTGTATTGAAGACTCACAGGTGAAGTTGAAAATACCATCTTTTGTATTTTTGTGCAGGCACGACTTTCTGGTGTTATACACTGTCCTGGCGTTGCAGATCTAGGGGTTCCAGTTAAGACGTGGTCAGCCTTCTAAAGAAAGTGGGAATCTCACCGAAGGCCAGGACAAAGGCTCAAACCATCATCTTTTCCTGGTATCGAATACCAAGGGACCTTCTGAAGTAAGCTTTAACAAGTAAGCTTGAATTGAGTAATTCAGAATCAAGAAGTATGGATTGGCCTTGCAAAATCTGTAAATTTGCAACCTCCACTAAGGAAGAGCTGATGAAACATTATAGGTTACGCCATATCCCCAGTGTACAGCCTCTGCCATGTCCTTACCTAGATTGTTTTTGTTCATTTAAGTCATGGGGTAGCCTAAAATCACACATATCAAGGAAACACTCAACTCACTCAACAATGAGAACCTCTGAAATACTCAGTTTCTGTTGCCAGTTCTGTAATGTGGGCACATTTTCCACTGAAAAAGAGTATTTTGAACACCTTTTATTTTTTTCTATCAATCAGGACAACACAGTTGAAAAGCGCAGAGAAATTGCTATTCGCTGCCTCATAGTCTATCTTGGAGAGAAGGAGGAGGATCTTTTCAAACAATACAGCGTAAGTACTTGAGTTGGTTTTTAATTTTTTGTTTAGTTTTGAATGCATGTCTCTGTTGGGTCTTTGTGTTTTGTTCATTGGATTTTCTGTTCAGGGTTGAGTATTTAAGTCATTCAGTGCCATAGACGTCTTTAGACGTCAAAATGAATCCGAACGCTCAGTGCCATAGACGCCTCTTGAGCTTTTTATTGAATTGAGAAGGTGATGGAGTTGATTACATGGATAAAATCCCACCAGCGTGACAGTCGGCTCTACTGAGAACGAGTATTGTGGCGCGATTTTTGATCCAGCTCGTCATTTCGAACTTGAGGTGTCTGCAGCCTGACGTCATGGTTTTTCTAGCGATTCCAGTGAACATGAACCGGATTTATCTGACCAGTATCTCCTGTTAGAAACTTCTGAATGCAGCAGGGACCAGAATAATGAACGATTTGCTGCATAAAACGCACAGAAATTGTTGATAGACGAACCGATGGCCGGGTGGGGGGTGAACAGACTAAGTCGCGCACTCACTTGTGCACATGCGGGAGTAACACACACACACAGACTCTCTGAATCATAAATCAGTCGCTTTTTTCTTATATATTTTTCAAATGTTGAAATTATCTATAAACAACTATTTTTATACAAAAAATAATCTGCCAAAAGTACATTTTTACAGGTGATTTTTTTTACTTCATAGTAGTAAAACATAGTTGAGATGTTGCATGAATCATTGAAACACGAAATCTTTACATCAAAGTCAGTGATCTGCTAGAAAAACCTATTTACACAAAGCGCTTTTGATCCAGAAACAGGTGTTTTGTCATGAAAGTTTCTCTTTTCTATTGCAGATTTCTAAATAACAGAGGTAGAAACATTTTTTTTGGTGCTGAAAGAAGAGAGACTCATTTTTGTCATGGTGGTTTCAGAATTCACATAGGCATAGAACAAAATATTCTGTGAGCCTTCAAAATCAGTGAAAAAGCTAAATATCTCTGGAACTGAGGGGGGTATGAAATCTGAGAGTGGCTGGCACTGAATGAGTTAAGGGACATTCCAACCCTAAGTGAAGATATGTCTATTGCCATGTATAAGTGAGAAAAAAGCATTTCAGAATTACAATCCGAAGATGTTTATTGCCATTGTCATTGAACATAATTTGCTGAATAGAAACCTGTTTCCGTGATAAGGTGCAACATAAACACACAGGATAAAAAATTTTGTAGCCAGCGCAGTCATTTTCCTGATCTGGCAGTAAACAATGGAAGTGAATGGCAGGTACTAGCATTTTGTATGCAAAAGTGATTAAAATCACTCAATAATGATACCAAGTATTCCTGGGGAGCTCAACAATCATGCTGACTGCAAATGAAAAGTATGAATTGACATGAAGGATTTTCAGGAGCCGATTTAGACTTGGGACTATATCAACATTGAAGCCCAAGAAACACAGCAGTTGACCCTCGCCATTATAAACCAACATGCTATTTGTGCAATATTTCTTCAACAAATCAAAGACCCATCCATTGTTACTGCAGCTTACTATGCTTGTATAGTAGTGGCTGTGTGTGTTTGTTTATGGAAGCTGGAGGCTTTTTCAACTGTTGCGTTATATCCATGCACCATGCAGTGGATGTTTACAGCGGTGTTTGTCGTAACTGCAATGTAGTCTCAAGTCTAAATCAGCTTCTGCAAATCTTCCGTGTTACTTTTGCACTTTTCATTTGCCGTGAACATGATTACTGAGCTCCCAAGAAATATTTGTTTTCATTACTGAGTCATTTTAATCACTTTTGCACACAACATGCTAGCACCTGCTATTCACTTCCATTGTTTATGCTCTGCTAAAGCAAATGGATTGCTTCCGGATCAGGAGAATTAGTGTGCTGTTTACAAAAGGCTTGTTTCTCACTTTCTAACTGTGGCAATATGGCAATAGATAAAATTTCACTTAGAAGTGGAATAACCCTTAAAAATGATTTATTAGATTTTCTTTTCAAAGTGGAAAAACAAAACTGTGAAAAACAAGACATTTTTTATTTTAAACGTTGGATTATGGTTTAATTTAGCTTTTAAAAATTACAGAATGACAAAGTAAAATCACTGAAAAACACAAAAGACAACCTGTTTTAGCTTATTTTCCTACCTGTAGTAGTTCATTCCCTTATGCACGTCATCCTGAAGTGCTTGAGCTATGTATTTTATACATCCTAACATTTAATTTCTCCTACAAGGATGAGGAGGAGCTCAACGCAGACCTTGCAATGCAAATCATGAAGATTGCTATCATTGGTGATGGGCCTGCAACCATATCGTTGAGGGATCCAAGATCCTGGAGAGGATTGATGTTGCCAGATCCTGTGCTTTGATGATGGGAGTAATCTACGCTCTGAACCTTACCTATCCCAAGCAGCTGAAATTTACCTTTGAGGTATTTCAAAAGCTATGCCTTGAGCTTGATGGACAAAAAGCCAGCTCTAAAGTAATGAATCTTAAGTTTGGTATTTTCTAGAGCAGACTTGATAGACCATTCGTGAGTGAGTTTCACAAAAACCTTATTCCTGCATTTCTGGCACTACTTCATTGTGTTTTACTAAATTTTAAAGCGCTGTTCTTAAGTCTTCTGAGTTAATGTTTTGCCGTGTCTTAAATGCTGTTATTTGCACATTTTTAAGGAATGCGTTTAATTTCTCCCATGACCTGTGTTCTGAGGGTACTGGTGTGTTTTAAAGTTTGTGTAATGCCCTCTTTAGCTGGCCTTAATCTTGAGGGTGAAAAGTCAAATATAGAAGAGAATCAAGAATACTTTGTAAGAGTGCTGACAAAGTTGAATGAAAGAAGCTTTGCTCATTTTATGTTTAAATTAGTGCATTTAATGTATAGCAGCCTGTCATCTTTTGTTTTGATTCACTGTCAAATGTTAAAGCAAAAAAAAAAGAGGATTCAAGTAATAGGTTGTATTACAATTTTAATACACAGTTCCTTAAGTTTCAGTGGGCAATTTGTGTTCTAGGAAACTGAAGCCCACAAATCTTGCACTTCCACACACGTTAAAGAATTGTGATGTTTGTTATTGTAATTAAATGGGTCTAACTCATTTGAATACATCTGTCTGAATTTCTATTCTTTCTGAGCACCAGGTACGCGTCCCTTAGCTGATGTCCAGGTATTTGGCATCACATCTGCCGCATTCAAACAAATACACACAACATCCATTTCTTTTTCTGAAGGTCATGACACAAGAGCACACACAGCGCATGTTAAGGCTGACCTTCGTTTGGGGAAAAAAGTGATCGACAAGTTTCTAAGGTCTTAGAACCTTGACTTCTTTGTGGGCAGGCACCACCATGCATGAGCCTGCCCACGCGGTAGTCATGGTTATAAGACACAGCCAAATGATCAAGGTTGTATTTTGGAGCGA